GGTTAATATCAAGATATGAGAGTTAGTCAGTAACTAACTCTCTAGAGATAATGGGCCAGGCAGTGCTTAAATGAATACAATTTGTGTGTTGTTATTTCTGGGACTAAGCTAGCCATGCAGGAGCCGGGTGAGGCAAAAAGCAGGCCTGCCCGCAGCCCCTCACTACTTTATTTCATGTACATTGGTATAACGATGTCAGATTCTCTGGAACTGGAGTTATAGACAGTTGTGGCCTGCCATGTGGGTGCTGGGAATTGAACCCGGATCCTCTGGAAGAGCAATTAGTGCTCTTAACCACTGAGCCATCTCGCCAGCCCCTACACAGTGAGTTTAAAGACAGACTGGCATATATGAGACCCTGTCTCAAAATAAAAATCATGTTGTACCACACAAGTACTTATTTGTTGTTGTTCTTTTGTTTGAGACAGGGTCTCACTATGTAGCTCTAGCTGTCCTGGAACTCAGTAGACAAGGCTGTTCTCACAGAGATCTGCCTGTCTCCCAAGTGCTGGGATTAAAGGCATGAACTACAATGTCCAACTTCATAATATTTTTTTTTGGTTTTTCAAGACAGGGTTTCTCAGTAGCTTTGGAGCCTGTCCTGGAACTTGCTCTTGTAGACCAGGCTGGCCTCAAACTCACAGAGATCTCCCTGCCTCTGCCTCCCAAGTGCTAGGATTAAAGTCATGCACCACCACCACCCAGCTCTCATAAATACTTTCAGTTACTGTCAGTTTAAAAAAATCCCATCTAGGGAAAAGATCTTCATCAACCCCACTTTGTACAGAGGGCTAATCTCCAAAAGTACAAAAAGAAAAAGAAAACCCAAGAAACTGGTCATCAAAAAAATCCCATTAAAAAATGGTGTACAAACCTAAACAGAGAATTCTCAGCAGATGAATCTAAAATGACTAAAAGATACTTAAGGAAATGCTCAATATCCTTAGTCATCAGATAAATGCAAATCAAAACAACTCTGAGATTCCATCTTACACCTGAAAAAATGGCCAAGATCAAAAACACTGATGACAACTTATGCTGGAGAGGTTGTGGGGTAAAGGGAACACTCCCCCATTGCTTGTGAAAATGCAAGCTGGGTACATCCCCTTTAGAAATCAGTATGGTGATTTCTCAGAAAATTAGAAAACAACCTATCTAAAGACCCAGCAATACTGCTTTTGGGTATATAACCAAAGGACACTCAATCATATCACAAGGACATGTGCTCAACTATGTTTATAGCAGCAGTGTTTGTCATAGCCAGAACCTGGAAACAACCTAAATGCCCCTCGACTGAAGAATGGATAAGGAAAATGTGGTACATTTACACAATGGAGTACTACAGAGCAATAATAATAATAGTAATAATAATAATGACATCTTGAAATTTGCAGACAAATGAATGGATCAAGAATACATCATATCAAGTGAGGTAACCCAGACCCAGAAAGACAAATACAATATGTGCTCATCCATAAGTGACTTTTAGACATAAAGCAAAGAAAACCAGCCTACAAATCACAATCCCAGAGAACCTAGACAACAATGACGACCATAAGAGAGACATACATAGATCTAATCTACATGGGAAGTAGAAAAAGACAGACAATATCTCCTGAGTAAATTGGGAGCATGGGGACCATGGGAGAGGGTTGAAGGGGACAGGAGAGGAAGGGAAGGGAGCAAAGAAAAATATATAGCTCAATAAAAACAGTTTTAAAAATTCCCATCTAAATTAGGTCTTGATGGTACAGGTCTTTAATTCCAGTACTCAGGAGGTAGAGGCAGATGAATCTCTGTGAGTTTGAGGCCAGCCTGGTCTACAGAGTGAGTTCCAGGACAGCCAGGGCTACACAGCAAAACCCTGTCTCAAGACACTGTCTCTAAGTAGCTAATTATTTTCTAACTAATTAATTAAATCATCCCTCTTTTATGTTGCCTTTCCCCCCAATATTTTGTCACAGAGATAAAAACAAGCAAACTGAATAATACTACTATTGCTATGAACAGTATATGTCTACTGCTGCTACGAACAGGCTACACAAAAATCATGATTTAGTCCTGCTTTCAACTCTTTCACATTTACATCTAGAAGTGTAATGGCTTCAGATTGGCAATATACTGATTTCAAGTTTGTCTCCTTTGAGACATTAATATTGTCTACATTGATGACTTTACTAGTTGCTCCATCTGCATTATTTCTTGGTGCACATTTGAAGGTCAAAGGACAACTTTGGGAAGGTTAGAGAGGTAGCTCAGAGGTTAAGAGCACTTGTTACTCTTCAGAGGATGTGGCTTTGGTTCTCAACATTCACATGGCAGCTCAAAATCATCTCTAACTCCAGTACTATGTGGTCTGATACCCTCTTCTGTTCTCCACAGGCACTAAGCACACATGTGATACTGATACTCACAATGACACATCTTCAACAGTGTAAACAGTTTTGTTTTTGTTATTGTTGTTTGTTAATTTGTTTTCTGAGACAGGGTTTCTCTGTGTATCTTTGACTGTATCCTGGAACTCACTCTGTAGACCAGGCTGCCCTTGAACTTAGAGACCTGCCTGCCTCTGCCTCCCAGAGTGCTGGGATTAAAGATGTGCCACCACCACGCAGCTTTGAAGTTTTATGTTATGTGTATTTAATTTTGAAAATGTATTTTCTAGACCTAGGCTATAGCAATTACCTAACATTCATGAGGCACTAGGTTCAAATACCAACAATGAATGAAATGCATTTTCAAGTGAAATTTAGACCCAAAGATATTGCACCAAGTATATAATTACAAACAAAAGTGACAGATGGAAGTTCAAAGCCCTGAGGTAAACCTTATTCTGGCCACTTCCTACCTCCATGAATTTGAAGGTCACTCAGATTCTCTAAACTTATTTTCTTTGACCGTAAGTTCACAATCACTATAAGCTGCTACCAGTGTGTCCTGGACCCCCTCATCAGTAATTTGGCCAACAAAAGAAGAGGACCTTCCTCCTCATAAGAATCAGAAGTAAGATAGGAAGGCCTGCCTTAGTGTGCAATTTGATTGCTTGTCTCACTCTGTAGCCCAGGCTAGCCTCGAACTCAGAGACCCACTTGCCCCTGCTTCCTGAGTGCTGGGATTCAGCGTGTGCCACCACACCCAGCTTAGTGTACATTTTTATTAAACTATCTAACTCACCTCCAGCAAAAAGAGGAAAGTGAGGCTCTGAGTTCTCACGAAGCTCACCTAACACCTCTTATTACTGAATTAGCAGAGATTAATCTCAATTGTTTCATACATTTATTGGAGGGGCACTGAAGTTCCATGGTACATGTCAGTTTTCTCCTACTACATGAATCTCAAGGATTGAACTTAGGTTGTCAGTCTCAGCACTAGGCACCTTTATCTTCCAGGCAATCTCATTAGGCCAAATCCAACTTCTATAAAAAGATAGTCAATGGGATTAGGGATGTAGCTCAGTGAAAGAATGTTTACTATTCAAAAAACCCTAGGTTCAACATCTAGTGCTGTGGCTAAATATACATAGCATGAACTTACCATCCTAACCCTTGGAAGTGTGCATACAGTTTGGTGGCATGAATTATTGCTGTGAGACAATGGTCTGTACCCTGTCACTTATATTTTAAGTAAATGCTGATTGACCAGTAGCCAGGCAGGAAGTATAGGCAGGGAAACCAGGCAGAAAGTAGAGGCAGGGCAATGAGAACAGAATTCCGGGAAGAGGAAAGAGTCAGTCTGCAGTCGTCACCCAGACACAGATGAAGTCAGACACAGAGCAAGCAAGATGTGACTGCCTCACAAAAAAAGGTACCAAGCCACGTGGCTAACACAGACAAGAATAATGGGCTAATATAAGATGTAAGAGTTAATAAGAAGCCTGAGCTAATAGCCCAATCCGTTTATGATTAATGTAGACCTCTGTAGATTTCTTTGGGACTTAAAAACTGTGGGAACATGGCAGGACAGAAACCCCAGTCAACAGAATGGTGCCCAACGTGGGGCTGACAAAATCCACTTAAAATCCTGAGGGGGGGAGCTTGGGAAATTATTCTAGATTGAAAAGAATAGGGTTAAGCACAGCTTCATGATAGCAGCACTTTCTTCGTGCTTGCTCGAGGCAAGCACTCTCATTTAAGAGATGCTTCCTAACTCAGCTTTAACTGCAAAACCTTGAAGTTCTTTTAAGAGGTCCTGCCACAAAATACTTAAATGTGTTGATGAAAAGCTGACTGCATACTTTTAAGAGGTGGCAGGGTCCTTAAAATGCCATAGAGTTGTGGCAATAAACATGGCTCTGGCTAGTACCTCTGCCATGAGGTTAGACTCTCAGTAAAAAGGAATGGGCTGGATCCGGCCATCAAAGCCACAGCTTTAATCCTAGCCATATTGCTTAGCAAATTAAAGACTCGTGTGGTCAGAAAAAGAGATATATACAGTAAAGATAGATTCAAAGACAAAGAAAACCTCTAAATGGTTTACTATGTGTTTAAAAATATATGTAGACTGGGGGGGGGAGAATAAAGTCCTTAAAAGAAAAAAGAGAGTAGTTGGGTGTGGTGGCACACACCTTTAATCCCAACACTTGGGGAGGCAGAGGCAGACAGATCTCTGTGAGTTCAAGGACAGCCTGCTCTACAGAATGAATTCCAGGACAGCCAAAGATACACAGAGAAACCCTATCTCAAAAAGCCAAAAATTAAAAATAAAAATAAAAGAAATTGAGGTTAAAATAAAGCCACGTAAAGGTGAAAAAAATACACAATCTGGATACTATATGCTGTTGTGTTGTCTTTGAATTGTTTGATGATGGAGGAAGGAACAAAAGTTGCTAAAAGACATTTGATTATAAATGCTGCTGGATTAATCATATATATAATATATATATATATATATGCTTTGACTTTAAAATTTAAGTCAAAAGATATGTTACTTTGGCGAAGAGGTTTTGCTTTTGTTTCCATAGGAAATGAGAGGCTGTGAATTCATTCTGAGTTAAGAAAAATCAGGTTTGATCCTCCTCTCCTGGGCGTCGCGGCCGCTGTCTCTGCGGACTGTATGAGGAGGAGGAGGAGGATGTGAAGATGGCGGAGCTGCAGATGCTGCTGGAAGAGGAAATCCCTGGGGGCCGCCGGGCTCTGTTCGATAGCTACACGAATCTGGAGCGGGTGGCCGACTACTGCGAGAACAACTACATCCAGTCATCAGATAAGCAGCGAGCCCTAGAAGAAACCAAAGCCTACACAACCCAATCCTTAGCAAGTGTTGCATATCTGATAAACACTTTGGCCAACAATGTCCTACAGATGCTGGATATCCAGGCATCCCAATTACGGAGGATGGAATCTTCAATCAATCTATTTCACAAACAGTTGATATTCATAAAGAGAAAGTTGCAAGAAGAGAAATTGGTATTTTGACTACCAATAAAAATACTTCAAGAACCCATAAGATTATTGCACCAGCTAACCTTGAGCGACCAGTTCGTTATATTCGAAAACCTATTGACTATACAATTCTAGATGACATTGGGCATGGGGTAAAGGTGAGTACACAGAATATGAAGATGGGTGGGCTGCCACGTACAACACCTCCGACTCAGAAGCCCCCAAGTCCCCCTATGTCAGGAAAAGGGACACTTGGGCGGCACTCCCCCTATCGCACACTGGAGCCAGTGCGTCCTCCAGTGGTACCAAATGATTACGTACCTAGCCCAACCCGTAATATGGCTCCCTCGCAGCAGAGCCCTGTGAGGACAGCTTCTGTGAATCAAAGAAATCGAACTTACAGCAGCAGTGGGAGCAGTGGAGGAAGCCACCCAAGTAGTCGGAGCAGTAGTCGGGAGAACAGTGGAAGTGGGAGTGTGGGGGTTCCTATTGCTGTTCCTACCCCATCTCCTCCCAGCGTCTTTCCAGGTCATCCTGTTCAGTTCTACAGCATGAATAGGCCTGCCTCTCGCCATACACCACCAACAATCGGGGGCTCATTGCCCTATAGACGGCCTCCTTCTATAACTTCACAGGCAAGCCTTCAGAGTCAGATGAATGGAGGGCCTTTTTATAACCAGAATCCAGTTACAGATACACCACCTCCACCACCACCTGTGGAAGAGCCAATCTTTGATGAGTCCCCCCCTCCACCACCACCTCCAGAAGATTAGGAGGAGGAGGAAGCAGCTGTGGTTGAGTACAGTGATCCTTATGCTGAAGAGGACCCACCGTGGGCTCCAAGGTCTTACTTGGAAAAGGTTGTGGCAATTTATGATTATACAAAAGACAAGGAAGATGAGCTGTCCTTTCAGGAAGGAGCCATTATTTATGTCATCAAGAAGAATGACGATGGTTGGTATGAGGGAGTAATGAATGGAGTGACTGGGCTCTTCCCCGGGAATTACGTTGAGTCCATCATGCATTATTCAGAGTAAAGCTCAGCACAGCTGTGCTTCCCTCTCAGAAAGTCAGGTCTTCCCAGATTAGCTAGAGGCCCTGGGAATTTCCTCCCAGTGTAACAAATGAAGCATTCAAATGATGAAGTTATTTCTTTTTTCTATGTTTGGTTCATCCCCTAGTATTAAAAACAAAAAAATCAAATTCGAGTCTGAACAAATGGATCTTCTTGCCATTATTTGCACGACACTGTCTGGATTGAAAATGTGACCATTTCTCATTCTATAGAAGGCATAACAACAAGAACATATAGCTAAAACAAATCAGACCAAGACTGGCTTGAAAAAAGTCTGGGATCATTCTCAGGAATACTGTACACCCTTGAATTTCTCTTCCTGCAGAATCTGTGACATTGGATATTCATTGCCTCTGCCTTGGGGTTAGTCTCATGGTCCAGTGGACACCCTTGCCCCTTACTTTCATGTGGAGAGGAAGGAATTACTGTTTAAATATCATATTTAACTACTTTTTGATTGTTTCAAAGGCTGTTTTTAACACTGTAAATCCTGTGTTCTCTTAACACTGGAGTGTGCTAGGTGAGTTAATACTGAACTCCCTTGCATCCTGTTGTTTGTAGATTATAAGGATGACAAAATGTGAGTCTCCAAACATTTCCACACTCCCAGTCACCACAGTTTGATTTTAATTTACTGTTGCATGAGGCTGCATTGCTGATAACAGCCGGTGAACCTGATAAAAAATGTGATCGAGACTTGTACTGAGGTAGATGTGTGAAACTGGACACAAAGCTACCTAAGGCTTTGAAGGGAAGAGCTTAAGTGCTCCTTCAGGAAGGTCTTAGGTCAGGAAGTCAGACCAGTTGTTCCTGTTCTTTTGATATTTAAAAACATTGTTTTTCTTATTTTTAGAAGAGACTTGGTGTCAGGTCTCTTGACAGTCACTGGATTGGGAGTGACAGGTGCTACTGTACTCTTGGACTGCTATCAGTGGCAGTGTTAGCTGATGTGGAGCCATTTTTCTTATTTTCTCAGCTCTAGAACAGTAAATATTCCCATGATTTGGTATGATTGGACTCTAAAGTAGTCAATCCTAGGAAGATCTGAACCTCGTGATTCAGACTCGAGTGTAGTGTAAAAGACTTGTAGGACAAAATACTTACCCAGTCACAGTGATGAGCCAGTATGATTTTGAAATAATGGGCAACTCCCTCATCTACAATTAATTTAAATTTAGTGGTGTTTGTACATCTGGTGGCTTTAACAATCACATCTGTAATTAGAGGTGTTGCTGCCCAGTAGGTGAATACCATGGTGGGTCAGTTTGTGGTTAGAACCAAAGCTTCCCTGTGGATTCTTACCTATTCTTACATGAATAGGCCAGAAAGAATCTGACCAGGAAACTTTACCTGAAAAGTTAAAAGAGGAAATAATCGCTATGTATAATTAAGATGCAGGCCTTGAATGTGCTGGATAGTGATGCTAGAATAATTTGGTTGAAAAATGAGTAAGTGTTGTAGAAGGGAAAAAAAGCAGGTCATGGAGACAGAAGCTAATTCCACTTAGAGATCTGTTATCTGAGTTTTGCTGTGTAACTGAGACTCAACCAGTTTCTTGCCTAAGACTTGTTTTTTTTTTTGCTTTAAAATTGCAGGATTTTGTTTGTTTTCAGACATGGTGTTCCTTCTGCTTTAGCCTCCCCAAACTAGGATTATAAGCAGGAGCATCATTAGAATATTAGGCATCAACCTTTTTTTTTCTTTTCTTTTTTAAAACATACTTCAGCCATTATACTTTTAGATGTTTCTGAACACTTTGGATTCATCTTTAACATGCTTCTAGTATACGTTCCACTTCATGCTTTTGCTAGGTCGTATTGACTATCTTCAGGATAATGTCCCTGAATGTCCTCTGAACCTTTCGCTCCATTATGGACGCAGCAAGACTATATATGAATATGTTTAACTTTGCTTGTATTGGTACGTGGAAACTTTTGAAAATAGTTGCACTAATTATTTATTTAAGTAGCCATTTGTTGAGCAAGCTTAATGGATTAATAAGACGATGTTTGGAAACCCAGGAAACAGCTAGCTTGTGGAGTCACAGAAGGAACACAGCTGACCTGTTGAGTTAAGGTTCCAAGAATACTTTGTGTTGGATACTTGCACTGGAGGAATCCACAGGTCAGCTGATTCCTCCCAGTTGTATTACTGAGTACTGATGCGATTTTACAAAAACAAAAAAAGCGATCTGTTGGATTTTTTTTCATCTTTTGAATTTTTACAATTTTGAATTCTATAAATTGTCTTGGAAGGATACTCTGTAACAATGAACCAGGCCTACAGTAATTGGAGACTTTTAATGTATGTAATATTTTGTAGATTGCATGCTGTTAATACTGTGAGGTTATCTCTTATTTTATTGTAAATTTTCCCATTTATTTGCCCATAAACTAAAATACAGTTGATATTAGAAATTTAAAAAAAAAAAAAGAAAAATCAGGTTTGATCAAAGAAAACCACCTGAGAAATCTCTGGTAGGAGGAATGGCTCAGATGTCTAAGTTCTACATCCAGGACAGTTCAAAGACTGCTACCTGAGATGATCAAGCCTCACAGGATACTCCAGTCAGGATTTGTTCATAATTCTAAATTTTCTTTAGGTCCCCATAAGATTATCAGTGCCCCCAACCAGCAGGAATTAGCCTGGAAAACTATGCCCACATTCCCCCAAAATATATATTATAGATGTTTGTCTTTGTTTATAATGTTGGTTCCAAGTTGTTGTGGATAATGGTCAGGAGAAAAGCTAAACAAAGGAGATTTGATTCAGAGTTCTTGTTTTAAAAAAGGGGGGGAAGTACTGTGGGACAATGGTCTGTACCCTGTCACTTGTATTTTAAATAAACACCGATTGGCTAGTAGCCAGGCAGGAAGTATAGGCGGGGAAACCAGGCAGAAAGTAGAGGTGGGGCAAGGAGAACAGAAGAATCCTGGAAAGAGGAAAGAGTCAGTCTGCAATCATCACTCTGACACAGAGGAAGCCAGACACAGAGCAAGCAAGATGTGACTACCTCACTGAAAAAGGTGCCAAGTCACATGGCTAATATAGACAAGAATTATGGGCTAATAATAGAAGTTAAGAGTTAATATGAAGCCCGAGCTAATAGGCCACCAGTTTATGATGACCTCTGTGTGTCTCAATCTGAGTGCTCTAGGGGATCTCTAGAAGTAGCATCAAATCAAATCAGTATTTGTCCTTTTGTGCCTGACTGATTTCACTGAGCATGGTGTCCTTAAGGGTTATCCCTATTGTGAGAATTCCCAGACTTAAAAGGACACACAGGAATTCTTTCCGGAAACTTTCCGGAAAATAAACAGAAGTGTTATTGCTATATCATGGAGCACATCTATTTAATTATTTGAGGCAGCCTTGTGTTCAGTTGGAACAAGCAACTCGATCCTGCATGGTTCAAAAAGCTCCATTCTGTCTGTCTCTCCAAACCCTGCCTGCTCAGAGAGTCTCTGAACAAAGGAAAGGTGTTAAAAAGCCCAGTTCCACTTGAAGGCTACTGCAGCTTCCTCTCCAGGAGTTACCAGCCGCCCAAGTCCCTGCCTAAAGCACTTGTCTAAAGTCTCAGCTTTTGTCCATACTTAGACACAACCCAGCTTGTGGCAGACACATTATCACCCCTCACCTACAACCTATAAAGTCTCTCTGCTGTCATTTGTGAGTGTGGCTCCTCTGGTCTCAATCTCTGGGACTAGAGAACCTGTCTGGAAGTTGCTTTGGTCAAATAAACCTGTTGTTATACATTTTCAATTCAACTTGATCTGACTTACTGTGTCAATAGAGAAACCTATTATCAGGGGACAAAAAAAAAGATTTACCTTGATTTAAATCTGAGGCAGTCAAACAAAAATCAATTTGAGGTCACCCCACCAACTCAGTACATGGCAAATCCTGTAGCCACACCAGGGCTAGAAACTTGGGGGCAGATATTTCAGTAAGCCCTTTGGGAAGAGGTTTGGCATCTTCTGTCAAAACTTCAGTGCTCTCACACATAAGCACCAGGCAGGCAAAGGAATGGAACCAGGAATGCTGCTTGATCATCAGTGACAAATAAAGAGCTGGTAAACATACATAAAAACATACTGACATGGTGGATACCAATCACAGAGTTTACATTACAGGTGAGAAAGGGGCAAGAAGGGAAGTGTGTTGGGTCCCTATGGGTTGGGAGGGCAAGCTTGAATACTTAATCTGCAAGGATTCATGTCTTTCTTTTTGTTGTTTATTTATTGATTGATTGTTTTTTGTTTTTCCAGACTGGGTTTCTCTGGCTATCCTGGATCTCCCTCTGTAGACCAGGCTGGCCTCAACTCAGAGAACTTCTTGCCTCTGCCTGCTAAGTACTGGGATCAAAGGCATTCACTACCACTGCCTAAATGGCATAGGAGGGTCTTCTTTCTATGTGTTGCTTTCATTGGTTGAATAAAGAGACTGCCTTGACCTTTTGATAGGGCAGAAAATTAGGTAGGCATAGTAGACAGAACAGAATGCTGGGAGATCAGACATGCTGAAGCTTTCCCAGTAAGCCACAAGCTCATGGTGACATACAGATTATTAGAAATGGATTGAATTGAGATGTGAGAGTTAGCCAAAAAGAGGCTAAAACTAATGGATTAGGCAGTGTTTAAATGAATACAATTTCTGTGTGGTTATTTCAGGGGTTAAGCTAGCCAGGCTATCTATCTATCTATCTATCTATCTATCTATCTATCTATCTATCTATCTATCTATTCATCCATTCATCCATCCATCTATCTATCTATCTATCTACCTATCTATCTATCTTAATAGTTTTTATTTGTATTTTATGTACATTGGTATTCTGCCATACATGCAGTATGTGTGTGTGAGGGTGTCAGATCCCCTGTAACAGAAATTATAGACAGTTGTGTGCTGACATGTGGGTGATAGTACTTGAACCCAGGTCCTCTGGAGGAACAGCCAGTACTTCCCAACCACTGAGCCATCTCTCCAGCCCCCAATTTATTTATTTTAAGACAGGGGCTCATGTGTCCCAGGTTAGCCTCAAACTGTCTAAGTAGCTGAGGATGACATTGAACTTTTGATCTTCCTGTCTATCTCCAGAGTGCTAGAATTTCATGTGTATGCCACTATTCCTGGTTTATTTGGCATTAGGGATAGAACCCAGGGCCTTGGGCTGGTAGTCCTGGATACTCTAAGAAAGCAGGCTGAGCAAGCTGTGAGGAGAAAGCCAGTAAGCAGCACTCCTCCATGGCCTCTGCA